TTAATGCAACGATCTTGCACCCATCTTTACCTCGGGACAGTAATTCATTATAGGACTACACAGCAGCCCATGCTGTTAACTCTTTCTTTAATCAGACAGACCCCCTGACTATGTACTAATGCGGTCTGCCTGCAAATAAATGCATGCCCGGTGAATTCCTGGTGGTTAAACCACGCGGCTTCCATGTGGCAGACCAAGTGATACAATAACTGGCGCTGTTTCACTCGGTTATTCTTTTTGTTGTTGTTGCTAATCCTCACCCGAGGATATTTTTTCCATTGAGTGGAAGGGAGGGGGAGAGACAGAGAGTGAGAGAAACATTGATGTGAGGACACGTCGATTGGTTGCCTCCTGCACGTGCCCCAACTAGGGTCAGGGATGGAGCCTGCAACTGAAGTACCTGCCTTTGACAGGAATCAAACCCCCTGGGACCCTTTAGTCCTTGGGCCGACGCTCTAACCACTGAGTAAAACTGGCTAGGGCTCATTCGATTATTCTTAAAGACTGGGCAAGATCTCACTGAGAGATGGAGCTTCGAGGCCTTGGTCGGCAAGCAAAGGTGCCTTTGCTAGATGAACTTGGGTAGATGAACCCTGAAGGTAAAGCCCTCACTCAGTTCCAGTTCCATGGCTTAATAAGGCAGGGGGGGAAGAAGAGAGGAAAACACTGCTTTGACATTGCAATCTTCACCTTCATGGCACATCAGAGCACCTTTGATCATGGTGAATGGCACCCAAGTCCAAGAAAAACCTATCCTTCAGACAGTGAAAGCTAAATATTTAGTCTGGGAGGCAGCAGACAGAAGCCCATCATTCTCTCTGCCCTGGCAAACCAAAGACAGCAGAGGATTGCCCTTGAACCCTGAAGGTTTGATTCATCACCCTCTTAACTGATGTGAATGCATCAGCAATGCCTCACTTCCTGGGTTGGGGGGAGGGGGAGAGGGGTGCAACAGTCTCCAGAGCAAAGAAACCCCACCACTATCACTGAACACTCCCAGTGCGCAAGGCCCTCAGACTGACACACCTCATCTCAGTTCATTCCTGCAATAACCCCATGAGACACGTAATATTCCCCTTTTACACCTGAAAAAACTGATGCACCAAGAGGTTTAGTGACCTGTCCAATACCCCACAGCAAGTTGTACTGGGAGGACTCTCATCCAGTCAACTGCCCTGCTACCTACCCCCTGTGTGTGCACACTGACCAGCAGCCATGGGGAAAGGGGTTCTTAGGGACACAGAGGATACTGCCTTCGGGTGATTCTTTCAAAGTGCTTGCTGCTGAATGGGAGCAGGTTCCATGTGGACACAGAATAGATGGCTGAGGCTGCAGTGGTGAAGCAGATGGAGGAGGACTCCCATGCGGCTTATAATAGCTGGAAGGCGCTCTGCCCACCAATAATGAACTAGCATTGACTGTCTACCACATGTCATTGCAAAAATGCATCTGGCTGTCTGTTGAAGTCTGCCTGCTGTTTTAACAGTCAACAATCCTCCACACAAACAACAACAAAGAAGGGCTGGCGGGATACAGCGTATGAATTTCAGGGTCTCACAACTGGAGAACTTCAGAGAACAATACATAGGGCAAGAACTTAAGTCCAAACTTGTTAAGAGCTGGACGCTGCCTTCCAGCTCCAAATAAGTGTATCAGTTGTTTGACACAAAATGTCCAAGTCAGCTGCAAGGCCAGAGTGGTGGTGACCGGTGCCAAAGCTAAGAAGCCATCACTCTGAGGCTGAAATGCTGAGGTGTTCTCTCGGCCAATACTCGGCACCGACTCCTCTGTTTTCTCTAGTTCTGGGTGCCCATCACTCCTTGGTGGACCCAGGTTTGCCAGTTATACTGTTGGTCCTTAATGCTATGAGACTTGACTATTTATCCAACCTGTAAGTCACCTAGTGAGTCACAGAAAGAGGCAACTGGTCTTTAGAGCGTGGGGGATGCCACTGCAGGTGCTTGGAGAAAAGCAGACAGGGAAACATACTCTGGCTTCTAATGACGCTATAGACAAAAGCCCAAACACCCAACCCTCTCTGGCTTCTGACACCTGCCAGGCTCAAAACAACCAAGTCCAGAGAGGCTGATGGCTGTCCTCGGAGGAATCCTTCCAGCCTCTGTGGGTATTGGCTGAAATCATAAGGTTTCTCCAAGCATTTCCCCCACACCCTGGGACTTGTTTGGGAAGATTTTTGCCAGTTACTTGCCTTCTCTCCACCGATTCACAAGGATTTACTGTGATTCTTCTCCTTAAAATGTCTGGGGATTTTGTACATTGTAAGAAACAGCCCCTCTCCATCGCCCTAATACACTTAAAACTATTCTTCTGCCTGGGAACTCAGTTATCGTGAAAATGAGTCTGCATTAACCCAGGTGTAAGATGGGAATGTAGGTAAATAAAATTTAAGTCATCGTGATATGTATAACAAGTAAAATATAACTCAGACTCGAAGGACGGGAGGTCTTAACCAACCCCCCAGAAGAGAAACAGAAAACGTCACATTACAAAGCAGCATTGCCCTAAGCATTTCTGTGTGGATCTTGGAAGCGTAACTGTGGCCACTGCACCCGATGTATAAAAAGCAGTCAAGTACTGTTCGCCAGTTCCTCTTATCCAAATAACCATTAGCCAGTTCCAACCTTCGACAAGCGACCCCTGACCCTTCCGAGAACCCTCAGTTTTGTCCTCCCCTCTGGGCCTCCTTAACACATGGGGTCAGTTATAAGCTCTCTGGAAATGTCCACCAGTTCCTAACATAAATCATTCCTTGCCACTTGGCAGCGTGTTTTCAATGGCCCTACCCATCCTCCGGGCTCCTCCTCATCCACAGGGGTCTTACCGGGATCTCCCTCCAAAGCAGTTGGTGCTGGGGGACTGGTGCCGGCCCTCGGCAGTGACAGCGGTCCCGCTGGATTCTCTCGAAGGTGGCTGTGATCCTAGAAAGGGGATCCATCACAAGAAAAGACAGAAACGTTGAGAAGCTCAACCCGTGCTTGAGATGTGGCTACAGCACAGAGCTCCCCTGTGTGTGACAGTTACCCACCACGTGGGACTCAGAGAGGCGAGCAAGCTGCAGCCGCCAGCACGAGAAGGAACAGGGGCAGTGGGTGAGATCTGATCAGGGCCACGAAACAGAGGGGCTCAAACCTGGGAAACAGCTCTTCTTCTCCAAGACCTTCAAGAATGTCTAAGGCACTTATAAGCATGTTGCCTTACACAGCACATGAACTTCGGCCATCCACGTGAGACAGAGAACAGATGCTGACCATGCAAAGTGGGGGCAAGGAATTGGGGCATTTCTCCATGTCACAACCAAAGGACTTTTCTTTTTTTTTTTAAATATATTTTTAAATTGATTTTAGAAAGGGAGAGGAAGCAACAGATAGAAAAACATCAAGGTGGAGAGAGAATCATTGATCGGCAGCCTCCTGTACGCCCCACACTGGGGATTGAGCCCGCAATCTGGGCATGTCCCCTGACTGGGACTTGAACTGTGACCTCCTGGTTCATAGGTCAACGCTCAATCACTGAGCCACGCCGGCCTGGCAACCAGAGAGCTTTTCAAAAGCCAAATCAAATTCAATTAAAAATCAAATCATGATACTATTCTGCTAAAAACCATTCCGTAGGATGGGGTTCAAAAGGATTTGAACCCCAGGCCTTCAAGGCTGTGTGATCTGAGCTGACCTGCCTCTGCGGCTTCACCTCTCACCACTCTCCTTGCTCCCCACAGTCCAGCCACCCTGGCCACCTCTGTTCCCACACAGGCCAAGCTCACTCGCACTTCGGAGCCTCTGCACATGGGACCCTTCCACCTCTGACTCGGCCACCCCTTCATCCACACCCCCACCTTGGCCTGTCAGAACTCCTCATACTCCAGAGGCCTCAGCTTCCCCAGAGGAACTTTCCGTGCCCCCGCCCCCAATTTAGATGAGATCCCCTAAAGTAGGAGATTTCATACTTCCCACTATCTTTCCTTCATAGCTGTTGTCACAATTATAGTTACACAGTTATTTGTGCATTTACTCGTTTGATGTTTAGCATCCCCTGCCCCTACCGAGTAAATTATAAGCTCCTGGGAGGAGACACCAAGTGAATTTTGCCCCTGCCATCGAGCTAGCACCTGGTCCAAGGTCTAGCACATACCAGGTGCTCAATTACCTACACATGTGCTGTTTTCCTCCATGCACCAAAAGCACACAAGCACCATTCGGTCCAGCTCAGGGAGGATTCTCAAGTCAAGGCCCAACCATTCCCCAGGTGCCCTTGAATGAGAATTCCAATTCCACCCCCTTGAAGCTATAGAAAGCCTGTTTGGGGCCTGGAAAGTCCCTTAGTTACATCACATTTGACAAGAAAAATTATGGAGAAATCCAACCCATTATTTCTGACTTCATGAAATAATTTCCTGCTAGATCCAAGGTGACTAATTTCAGATTGGATTAAAAACAAACAAACGGCCCACATTCAGGGCAGAGCGGGAAACACTCTTCAAATTCCCTGCCCCTGTCAGTATTTTGCTAGTGTGAATCTCTAAGACACAGAGTCCCCTTTCCCAGCAATAGCATCTCATAAAAGACACCCTCAAAGCTCACCGGGAAGGTTAACTGCATGGGGGTGAGGAAAAATGGGCCCAAGTAACATGTAATAAAGACCTTTTATTGTCCAAAGCCCCTGTGGGATGAAAGGAGGTTTTTCTCTGCTCTCAAACCAAACACCACACTTAAAAGATGACACTTATTTTGTTCCTTTGTCAGAAAGCTGTCCTTGTAAAATCATGTCACGATTTTGATCATGCTTATGGACGCTGAAAGGAATCAGGGCTAGCTATGGGCCAGGGCTGGCTGAGCCGTACCCAAACCAGGGACCTGGAAGAGAACCAAACTCTGGGCACCTCCCTACCCCCCCGCCCCACCCCTGGGGAGCAGGGCAGCACTCACCGTCTGTCACGGCACTGCCATTAGGCACGCTTCCCAGATCAACAGTCGGCCCGTCCAGGAAAATTGTCAGCTCACCGCCCGAGACAACACCGCCTTTGTTCTCCGTCTGCAGGTTCAGGGTCAGCTGTGTGTTCTCCACTGTTGGACACAAAAGGCAACGCGGATGGGAGAAAGCAAATGCACCCGGAGTTAAGATTCTGGAAGTTGTAAGCTCCCACTTCGCCTACTCTGGCTCCCCTGGCAACATTTTGCCGCAGCTTCAAATCTGTCTGTGGCATGGGAAACAGAACGGAAAGGAACATGCCTAATTGTCACTGTTGTATGAGGCTGGTGGGGAAGGCTGTACTCTTCCTTTTCTAAACATGTTAGGTTATTAGGTTAACTACAGAATTTCTACATTACTTGTTTGGTTATACTTGCAGGACCATAAGGAAAAACTAGAGATACTGAAGGCGTACAGAGGAAGAAAGTAGTTCCTCCAAGCAGTATCCCTCTACTCATATAGAGAACAGTGGCAAAAAGAAAAGACACAGGTAAGAAGACCCTGAGGGAACATCTCAGGAGTCATCTCTAGATGAACAATTTCAGGGGCTTATTCTTTTCTTATTTGCATTAAAAGTGTTGTTGTTTATTTTCAACTCTGAAAATGTTTCACCTTGAAATAAGGAAAACATTTTTTTTTTAATATATTTTATTGATTTTTTACAGAGAGGAAGGGAGAGAGATAGAGAGTTAGAAACATCGATGAGAGAGAAACATCGATCAGCTGCCTCCTGCACATCTCCTCCTGGGGATGTGCCCGCAACCCAGGTACATGCCCTTGACCGGAATCGAACCTGGGACCTTTCAGTCCGCAGGCCAACGCTCTATCCACTGAGCCAAACCGGTTTCGGCTAAGGAAAACATTTTTAAATAATAAAAGTTCAATACAAGCAAGTCAGCCCCATAGTCATATGACCCGGGGTTAATCCGGGAAGGGGAGACCACTCACACCTGGCTCTGTCACCGAGGTGGGAAGGCAGCTCACATTCACAGTGCCCAGAGCACTAGGTAGTCAGCCCTGTGGGCAAACAAGACAAGCTGGGAAACCACAGCAGGAAAACAGAACAAACTGGCAGGAGGCAGGAGCCCCAAACCCTAGGTGGGCTGGAAACTGGTACACACACAATCCCGACCCCCACCACCAAGCTTGGCCACACCGTCCAGTTCCTGCTCAGGAACTGTAACCTCCAGGTCAGGGCCGTTCAATAATCACCGGGAGACAGCAGCGTGTTTGAGGATTTCCAAAGGCTGTGCAGTCCTTCTGTGCCTCCCCCACATCTTACAAAGCCAGACCAGGAAAATGCCACATACTCCAACCTCCCTGCCCACCCACCATCCACCACTTAATTTTATCTCTTAGTTGCTACTGTATTATTATAAGCTACCTCACTGGTTTTCTAGAACAAGGCAGGGTATCTATAATAATAATAGCGTAATATGCTAATTAGACTGGACAGCCACACGACCTTCCGGACAACCTTCTGGATGAAGCCAGGGCTGCGAGGGCTGAGGCAAGCTGCCGCCGCTACTGCTGCTGCTGCGAGGGCCGAGCCCCTTGCACGAATTTCGTGCATCGGGCCTCTAGTGTATAAATAAGTACCTCCAGGAGCACTTCCTAGAAACAACCTCCCCCAATGAAAAAGCCTGCCCCAGATTTCTCTAAGGAATAGACACAGTTCTTTAAGAACTTAGCAAAAACAAAGTCTGGATCAATTCAAGGATCTAGTATAATAAAGTAGAAATCAGTTACCCTGCAGGTTTTCAAGTTTTCTCCCTTCCTTTAACCTCTCTTCCTGTAACGGTCTCTTGTTGAGTCCATTGCTATTTTCAGTCAGTTTCACGGAGGGGCTTACTCAAATATTTCCATAAAATAACACGTGTAATGTGAAAACAAGTTCCTTCAAAAGTCTAGGCGTAGGGAGAAAGAACTGAGACCTACCCTGTGCAAATTCAGTGATGCCATGAGGAAGCCATCAGACATCCAGAATATGGGACATCTACACAGTAACTGTCCAGGAGTCTTCAAAAAGTCAGTGTTGTTAAGCATGTTTCTTTCTTTTTTTTTTAGAAATGTGGTGTGGCAAAGAGATTCTTCTAGATTGAAAGAAACAACCCGAATGCAATGCGCGTGAATTCTGACTAACCCTTGGCTTGAAAAAAAAATATTCCGGGGGAAATCTGCACGAGACTGGATATTAAATAATGTCTGAAATTACCGTTAATTTCCTTAGGTTTAAGAATGGCACCATGGTTTTACATATAAATGTTCTTATTCCTGTGAGACTCAAGAGAAGATTAGAATGATATCTGCACTTAGTCTTAAATGGTTTTATAGGAGAACAGGCTGAAGTTTTTAAGACTAAAGTGCTATGATATCTGCAAGTTACCTTCAAATGGTTCAGGGGGAAAAATGCACATTCCCACGGGCTCGCACGTATTGGTTAAACAAATGGGGCAAACTGTTAAAAAGGGTTGGGTCTCAGTGGAGGGCATCTGGGTGCTCATTGTGTTACTCTTTCCATTCTTCTGCATGTTTGAAAATTTCATAATAAAAAGTTGGGAAAAGGTTTTCACTTAATTGGCAAGGCTATTAAAAAATTAAACCTCTGAGAACAGAACACCCCATTATTCTCTTTCTTTAAAAGTAGCTGAGCCAGGGGAACCCTACAATGCATAATGGGACTAAAGGAGCCATTAGCTAATTGAGTGACAGACTGGAGCGTACAGGGGAGGCTGAAAGGGGCAAGTGTGGCTGGAAAACATATACTGGAATCTTAACTATAAATAGCAGCGTTAGCCACGTCGCCTCGGGGCCCTCAGGTTTCACTACAGCCACGCGGACAGCTCTACAAAGGGCCTTTCTCTTCAAGCATGTCTTCCCACTACTGCCTTTTGAGGCACTGCTCAAAAATCAAGAAACCAATTAAACAAATCAGCGTAACAGGTCGATTTCCATCACTAGAATCAGGTCTAGGAAGCTCACCAGCTACTCTCAGCCTGGGCAGGCCCTGCTCTATCTGTGGCCCCGCAGTTCACATATCTGTACAGAGCACCTGCTATTCTAGTCACAGAGATTCAACAGGAACAAACAAAGGATCTGTGCTCTGGGCTGTTTGTTTCTAGTTAGGAGGAACAGGCAATGAGCAATGGTTTTTGGTGGTGTTTTGTTGTGTGTGTTTTTTTAAGTAAATTGCATAATCTGTGAAGAAGTTACAAATGTAGTAGGAAAAAATGAAACGAGGCAAGGGATGGAGAGTGCCAGAGGTGGGAGGAGGGTTTGGGGTGGTGAAGAAGTCTCGCTGGGAAGGTGACAATTGAGCAAAGACTTAGAGAAGGATGAGGTTGGGGAAACCATGTAGGTATCTGGAAGGAGAATATTCTAGGCAGAAAGAGAAGGGAGCACAGAGGCCCCAGGTGAGAACGTATCTAGCAGGTGTGAGGAATGGCAGGGAGGCCGGGGTGGCTGGAGGAGACGAGGGAAGAGAGCAGCAGATGAGGGCAGTGGATAAACAGACCCCACAAGGAAGGCCTTGGAGCCCTCGCGAGGTCTGTGACGTTGACTCTGTGTGAGATCAGAGCCCATTGGAGGGTTCTGAGCAAGGAAAGAACATGATTCCCATTATAACAATCACACCGGCTGCAGGAGCAGCAAGGGCTGAAGCAGACGAGACCAGGCAGGAGGCATTACGATATTTCAAGTGGGAGCAGATGGTGGCTTGGGCCAAGGTGATGGCAGTGTCTTCTGGGAACAGGGTGCCTAAGGGAGACTCTACTTTGGCTTCCTTCCTAACACACGTTAGGGGGGCTGATGGCCCCCACAGAGCACATCAGCCAGGCCCCACAGTCTCTTGGAATCAAAGCTTTGGGCAAATCATAGGCAGGGACTGAAAAACAGAGCCAACTTAAGAGCATGGACAGAGGAAGTCAGATTCAATTACAACCAAATGGAACATACATAATGAAAATACTCCGCTGGCAAGAGACTTCAGTTCCACCGAGAAAGCCAAAGTCCTGAGCTCACGCTAACTTCAGCAATCAGCAAGCACACTTCTTCAGTTATGGGACTGTGCCCTTCTGTTCTGTTCTAAGTACCCACTGGGAACCAATACCTTGTGATGCTGCTTTATGGAGGTCAACACACAGCGGTAGGGCTTGGATATTAGAATCCCAGGGAAACGAATTTGGAAAATCTCAAGGACCATGCCAGGAAATCACTTCAAAAGCTGCCAGACCGAGACAGACAAACAGACACTAGGTGCTTCCTGATGGAATCACACATCACCTCATCAAAAAGGGGGGGGCGGTGGGGGAGAGAACTCTACATCAGATCAAGCCTCTAAATCTACCTATGAGTTTACAGAAAACACAGAGGGACAGAGGAACGCGCTAACCCACAATTCAGCAAAACCCCCAATGTGAGAAACTACAGGACAAACCATCCAGTTTCTCCAACAACAAATTTCAAGGGGTAAAAAAAAAAAAAAAAAAAAAAAAAAGGAGAACTCATCAGCTAAAAGAGCCTTAGGAGACAGTTCGCTCTTATTTGGATTCTGATTCAAACAGACCAATGGGGGGGGGGGGGGGGGGCTATAAGACATCTGGGGAAATGTGAAAACTGAGTATTTGATGATACTGAAATAATTCCCATCAAAGTTTTTTAGCTACGAAATTGGCATTACAGCTATGGTTTCTAACAGCTCTTACATTTTAAAGATACGCACTAAAATATCTGTAGGTGAAACGTGTCTGGGATTCGCATAAAAATAACCCAGTTAGGTGAAAGAGGAACGCCCATCCCTCTCAGGGCTGTGGAGCTGGGTGGCAGGCACGTAGGGGTCCATGGACTATTCTTTCCACTTTTTTTATTTTTTATGCTTGACATTCTCTGGGATAGTTTTCTTTCAAACCAGCACACCCTAGGCACAGAGACTATAAACTAACTTAAAAACTTACAAGAATTCAACAAAACTTATACAGTTTTGAAATACGAAAGAGCAAAAAATATATCAGTCAAGATGCTTAGGGAATAACTCTTATTTTTCCTAACTTCAAAGCCTCAGATTTGCAAGTGGCTTCAGGTTAATAATTTCCTATTGGGAAGAGCTTTTACGTACAACAAGAATGAGTAATATTTTTTTAGGAGTTACTTTTTCCCTTTCTTGACTTGAACTTTTTCATGATTTTTTGGGTTTGTTTTTTTTTTGCACATGGAACTAACTAGTATGGATAAATGGGACATGGAAGCTGCCTGCCTTGTTCCAACAAAAGAAGAAACTACGGAAACCATAGCTGCCAAACGGTGCCACTGTAACAGTGCAGTTCAGTTACGAAACCCAGAGCTCCCGCCTGGACAGTTTCACCGCAGTGAATGAAAGAACCTCCCACTTGAGAATCTTTTGTCATCGCTGTCCCTCCCTGCCCCCACATCACCAAAAGGTACATGCACTGTCCACACTTAGACCTTTTTTAAAAAAAATTCATTTTTTCTTCCTAACTCAAAATACAAATGCAAAGATTTACCTGGAAATTTGCAAAAAATAAAAATAAAACAAGACACAAAAGTAGGATACTTTTAAGGGAGACCCCGTATTCTTGGGTCAAGAGTCTCGGAAGCCTGATGAAGATGTGATTGATTTGGCCTTAACAGAGCCGCTCAGTGGAACAAACAAACCTCCTTCTTCCTGCCTCCCTCTACCCTCAATTCCATAGGCCCATCAAAAGAAAGTGAAAATAAGCAGGGCATTCATTAACAGGTCAGTGTTCGCGCTGCACAGAGCTGTGAAACACTGGCGCACAGAGGAACCGAAGGGAGGAAATTCCAAAAGGGCAGAGAGTAAACAGTCCCTTTTCCATTCCCTGGTTCCCCATAACTCAGACACACACAGGCTCAAGTCTACTCCAGGTTTAAAGAGAACGTTCTTTCACGTTCCCTTTGCAGTAAAGGAAGCCAAAGGCTTCCAGGATTTACTGTTACGATGTCTCTTTGGCTTCCAACCTTACCCAGATTCTAACAAGAGAAAGTCTTTTCTACCAAGCTAGATCAGGTCGTAAACACTGGAATGCTTGTTGGGGACCAATGTTGACTCTGCTTCACCCCACTCCCTTGTGCCCCCAGCACTCACAGGGTCCCCCGCCCTGGCAGGGTCCTCTGAACACAGAGGGTAAGGAAGAGTCTACCTTGGCCTCTTCTGTGTGCTGTTGCTGGGGGTTCACCCTTAATCATCTCTAAATTACTTTGGTCTACTGGGGGTGGTATTAACTCCTCTAGAGCAGATAGCTTCATTTTACAAAGCCAGTTTTGTAAACTTCACTTTTTCTCTTTCTTCCTTGTTCATTTATTTAAGAAACATTTTCTGGGCACCTACTATCTGCCTGACACTGTGCTGATGCTGGGTTATAAAGAAGAATGGATATACACATAATCTCTGCTTTCAGGAACCTCACAAGTCAGTGGGAGAAAGAGAAATAAGTAAATCATCTTGCAAGGAAATGTAAACTTACAACTATGGAACAGAGTGCATGTAAGAGATCTATGGTCCCATGGGCAGTTGGCTAACTGACTTGTTCATGGCATCAGGGAACGTTTCCTGAAACTGACTACTCAACTGGGACCTGAGATTTCAGGCAGATGGCTAGCAGGTTGGGGGAGGGGAGGTAGAGAGGAGGAAGACCATTCCAGGCAGAGGAAATACCATGTGCAAAGGCACTGTGGCACAATAAGCTGGATGCTTTCAGGTCACTGAACAGTGAAGAGTGGGGCTCAAGAGGAATATGATCCAAATGGGAGAAGAGATCTACATGGTGGCCAGACTATATAACGCTTTGTGGGCCTGCCACGTTGGAGAGTTTTTATCTATACCCGAAGAGCAGCAGCATGATACTTGAAGGTTTTTAATCAAGGTGTGACAAGATCTAATTTGTGTTTGCAGAACAGACAAAAGTAAGGGTAGACACAGGTAGAGCAGAGAGGAGGCCACTGGAAAGGAACAGGGGAGTATAAGCAGGGATGAAAGAAGAGAGCAGACTTGCAAAAGTAAGAAGTAAGAGAACCTGAAAATAGATTAGCACAGGGGGTGGGCAAGAGGGGTGGAAATATCAAAGACAAATCCTGGATTTCTACCTTACTTAACTGGACAAATGGAGGGTCTCTATGTTGAAATATGGAACACTGGGAGAGGACCAACTCTGGGAAAGAGGTGATGAGTTCACATTTGGACACGTTGATTTCTAGGTGCTTCTGACATCCACGAGGAGCCAGCAAGACATGTATGTGGGCAAGATATGTGGGTCTACAGCTCAGAGGAAAGGTATAGGCCAGAGTTTCGAATCTGTGGGTCACCTGCACATGGTGGTTATGCATAAGGAGGAGGTACAGATGGGAATGCAATCACAGAAGAAGATGGAATGGTAGGAAACTCTCAGTTATTAGTCAAACAGATGAAGATGACCTTGCAAAGAAGACAGGGAAGAACGGGCAAAGAGGCAGCAGGATGAAAGGAAAGGATTCCTGAGACGGCAGGCAAG